GATTTGTAAGGAAATTTGATCCCAGAGACATAGGATGGGTGGGAGAGAGAGAAGCAGCTCAAACTTTGTATGGCTTCAAAATACATTACACGAAATAGAAATGCATTAAGGACCTTTGAATAGTGTAGAAGTAAATTGAAAAACACTTCTCATATGCAATGTCCTTTAGAGGGTTTTTTTCTCTTTTGGACAGGCCATCATATCTTGCTACAAAAAGGGCTCTTTAAGTAAGGAGACAATTTGTAAGAAACAAGTTACCCTTCTTTGTCCAATTCTTCATTTCTTTCATTATCAAGGTGTTAAGTATTCGGCATTCGGAAGTGCGAATGAATGGATAATGTTGCTTTAAGGTTGGACACATGTAAGTACTTTGGGGAACATTTTGGAGAAATAAGAAGTGAGATGGCGAATATACCTAATTTTCGATAAAGTATAGTAACTACAGGGTGGGATGAAAAATATGAAAACAATTTCGGACTGCTGTCATTTCTAAGCCACTCAACCGACAACTGTTAAAATTATTCCAGTGACAACTCATTATATTGTTTACTAGGGTACAAAAACATTTTGTTGAGAACTTTCCAGAAAAAAGTTGTTCGTGATGGAATTCAAGCGTGATAGTGTGATTTCTTTATATTTGGCTTTAAATTCACAAGTGGCTATCGTTAGAGCACTCCAGCATTTAAATGTAAATAAATCTTTTGTGTCTCGCACCATTGCTCGTTACCGTGATACTGGTAGCGTAGTCCGACGTCATGGAAGTGGACGGAAGAAAACAGCAACATCAGCAGAAATGGTTCGAAAAGTGAAGAAGCGACTTGATCGAAACCCGCGTGGCAGTGGCTCGTGGCCTGAACATATCGCAATATTCCATTCGGCAAATATTGAAAAATGAGCTCAGGGTAAAGCCATTGAAATTCCAAAAAGTGGAAGAACTTACACCGCAACGGAATGAAAATAGACTCAAAAGAGCTAAAGAGTTGCTTCGCTTAGCCGAAAGTGGTGAACTGCCGAATTTGGTTTTCTCCGATGAGAAAACACACTCGTTGTCCAGCAGTTTGTAAACAAACAAAATGATCGTGTTTACTTGCCAAAGAGGTCAGCTGAAAATGTGCACCTTCGGTTGGCCACCAAAACTCAAGCGTCGGCCATGGTGATGGTGTGGGCCACCATAACAGCCGATGTTCGCTCTCCGCTCATATTATTCGAAAGTGGCATCAGAATAAATGCCGAATATTATCGCGAAAATATTCTGGACGGTGTATTAAAGCCTTGGACATGCAAAATGTTTGGCCGCAGACCTCGAACATTCCAACAGGACTCAGCACCATCGCACTCAGCACACGTCACCCAAGAATGGTTACAAAATGAGGTTCCTTGCTTAATTTCCAGCGCACAATGGCCACCAAAATCCCCGGATACCAATCCATGTGACTATTATGTCTGGAGTATTTTGGAAAGCATGGTTGGCACTAAAAATACCAAAGTGTCGGTCACCTCAAGCAAGCGCTTCGCCGGGAATGGGCCAAAATACCGCAGAGCAACATTCGGGCAGCGTGTGACGGTTTCATTGGCCGTTTGAAGGCCATAATCGTGTCAAAGGTGACCATTTCGAACACATCTAAAATAATTGTGAAGGTATTTCCGACATTTTTTGATTTCATTTAATAAAATTTAAAAAAATAAATGTTAAAGTTATGGCGATAGACTTTGACATGTCTACATATTTCTAGAACACATCTATAACCTCCATTGAAACTTAAGGTTTAAGAACTGGTTTTCCATTAAGCGAAATTTCTATACAACAAAATATTTTCAATATTTATTCACATTTTACACCCAAATACCGGTAATTTGATAAATTTTACCTCAACACAAGCCGTATCTACAAATCTAGCATTAGGCCTGTGTTGATAAGCCCTTTATCTCTATGTTTCTCAATTTTTCCAAGACTAATATAAGTGCTTGGATAATAGCAATAAAAATACTTCGTCTCCGTTTTGGGAAAAGTGTTCAGTGTTATAGAAATATGCGGAGTATTTGAAGTTATCCTAGTTATAGTATACATAGGCTGTACGAACATTCAAGTAGGACCATATATTATAGGGCAGGTGGAGAAAGAATTGACAAGGTCCTAGTCTCAGAAGCACTTGAGTTTTTAGACAGATCTGACGGACTTAACGATATTATACTGTGGCTAAGGATGCTCTGAATTGCAGCTTGAAGACAGGCTTTTAGAGGAAGGGTTGTTGTATGTTGATAGTGAGCTTCGTTTCTACCTATCTTAGCTATGATTTCAATTAAAACGAATTTAATTTAAATATCTTTCATACTTCTTCTCTGAGCTTGAGAAAAATTTCCGTATTTTAATAAGCGTTAGGCAAATATGGAAGTATACGGAGTATTTAAAGTTATCTTAGTCTCAGTATATGCTTTAGGAACTATCAGGAATTATTCAATACGATCATAGCAGGTGAAGATAGAATTGACCAGGCCCTGGTCTCAGGGGCATTGGAGTTCTTAGACAGATCTTAACAATTTTAGGGCTGAGGACCTTTTTATATTTTTATATCCTCCTCCATAGTATATTAAGTTTTTTACTTCATTTGTAACACCTCGAAATATACATTGTAGATCCCACAAAGTATATATATTCTTAATCAGCATAAAATTCCATGTCTATTTAGTGATGTCCGTTCATCCGTCTGTCTGTTCGTCTGTGAAAATCACTTTAGAATCCGAACGGATTGAAGCAGGTTGATAACATTAAATTCAAATATGGGTTTGGTCCACATTTAGGTATAGCCACCATATAACTATGCCTCCCCATTTAAATGATTTTAGCGACATTATTCACCAGAATGTCAGACCCAACAAAGTATATATATTCTTGGTCAGCGTAAAATTCTAAGTCGATTTAGCGATGTCCGTCTGTCTGTCTGTGCGTATGTCTGTTGTAATCACGCTATTTTTCGAACGAATTGAGAGAGAAGGCTTACATTTTGCACATATGTTTATTTTTCAAGTAGGAAGGTTAAGTTGGTAAATGGGCCATGTAGGTCAACGTTTTCATATAGCCCCATATAACGGTACCTTCCGATATTCAGTATTTTGATGATTTTAGCGACATTATTCACCAGAATTGTTTCAAACTTGGTACTTGAAGTTCGTAATTGTTCGGAATTGTTTCAAATTTGGTATTTGAAGTTCGAAATGGACACTAAAACCTAAGACAGAAAATTATCTGTGCAGGTCCACGTCTCGTATAGACCCCAAATAACGGTACCTCCCTATATTCAGTATTTTGCTGATTTTAACGACATTATTGACCGGAATTGTTTCAAATTTGGTACTTGTAGTTCGTAATGGATTCTACAGCCTAAGACAGAAAATTATCTGTGCATATCCACGTCTTCTTATAGCCCCCATATAACGGTATCTCCCAATATTCGGTATTTTGATAATTTTAGCGTCATTATTCACCGGAATTGTTTCACATTACGTATTTAGAGTTCGTAATGGAAACTACAGTCTGTGACAGAAAATTGTCTATGTAGATCCAGGTCTGCGTATAGGCCCCATATATCAGCACATCCTTTTATTCGGTATTTTGACGAGTTTAGGTACAATACCCACCGAAATTGTTTAAGATTTCGTATTTGAAGTTTGTAATGGATGCTATACCCTAAGACAGAATATTGTCTATGCTGGTCCAGGTCTTCGCACAGCTCCGATATAACGGTACCTCCCTTTATACGATATTTTGATGATTTTATCTACATTATTCAACGTTTATTTCAAGTTTCGAATTTGAATATGGTAATGGCTTCTGACAAACAATGCCTATGTAGGTCCACGTCGTATAGACCCCAATATAGCGGCTATAATCGGTATTTTTAAAATTTTAACAGAATATTTTAAGGGTTTTATTTTTTTTTTTAATTTCCAAATATCGTTCCAAATGGTGGAGGGTATTCAAAGTTCGGACCGGCCGAACTTACTGCTATTTAACTTGTTTTCTTTTGAAAATTTTTAAATTCGTTCCAAGTGGAAATTTTATGCAATACTAATTGTAAATAGCGAGTAGCTATATTGTTGAAGAACAAGCTGAAATCACTTAGGAAAATGCCAATTCTCTGCACATTGACCTGGAAACAAATTCAGTTTCCCGATTTCTACGTTGGCATATCTTCCGCATAACCTCAAAAGGGCTGTTTTATAAAAATTAAAAAACAAATTTTAGTTGAGACGCCTTTTATACGTTTTTCTTTAAGGTATGTCAAATTTATGATAACTAAGATGTGATATGCTCGGGAGCAAAATTCGAAAAACACATTTAGTTTAAGTAAACACGGATTGAACAACCATAGTAAAGTTAGATGCTGAATTGAAACCTTGGGCATTAAAAAAAATATATTACATTTTTAAGTCGTTCTTTGAAACATTGGAGCATTTTCTCTTTTATTTTCATTTGCAAATATCAGATTTCTATTCTGAGGGTACGACTCCATACCCGACCTTCATCAGATCATGGTTAATGAAATAAAACAGTCAAGTAATTGTTTTAAGGCAATTGATTTTCTAATATAATTAATGCTCCGAATTAAATTCAATAAAATGTGGTCTAGACCGCACAACAGGCCTATACCAACTTTAGTGTATATCCAGGAGATGTAGCGATTTCTTCACCGCTTTTTTAACCTAACTTAACCTAAGTATTTCCTTCATAGCCTGTTCATATGTATGTTAAAAAGGAACGGCGTTTTAAAATCTTAAAAGGTAAAACACATTCTTGTTCAATGTATATCCAGGATTTGGAATAATACACATAACTTTATTTTTCAAATACCTTAAATGCTCCCTCATTTCAAAATTGTTCCTTTATTTTCTATATAAATTTTTTTTAACATAAAACTAAATTTTTTGTAATATTTTCCCAAATATACAAATAATTCCAATTCTTCTTTACAAAGTTCTCTTACAAGTATGCAAAAACTTACAGTAACATTATGACGAGGACGACGACGATGTCCTTAACAATTTATGACGGCATCCAATATCCAAAAAACAAAAAACTGGAATCAAGGAAAATTTGTTGTAATCCACTCAATTAGAGTAAAAAGTTTTGCACTCAAACTGAATATAGTTCATTCGCTGTCATACAATGTCTAAATTTATTGCAGTTCTACAAAACACGATGCACAGTTATGCATTTTTATTTTTATTTCCGATCATAAAATGCATCTATCGAAAGCAGCATCCTTTGTCTGCCAAATGATAGTCAATTATAGTTGTTTTTTTTTTAATATTAGTTTCGATTGCTGTAATGTTCTATTGAAATGATTTTACTCCAAGTTTTTTTTGTCGTTTTTTTTTTTCCAATAGTTTAGGATTCCATTTTTTATGGCTGCACTTTTATTTCGTGACTTTTTTAGAACTTGCACTTTGGTTTTATGGTCACAATCGAAAGGAATCTATTCTGTTTTCAAAATATCCTGTGGATGGCGGCATTTGCCTTTTGGCTCCTCTTTGGTAATATTAGGAATTTTTTCTACTTTTTTTGTTTTTTTTTTTTTAATACCCACAAACGTACGAATATCCTTCCTTGTGTGTGCAGGATAAAGCTATCCAAGGTAATAAATATTTTTATGGACTTTTTATGAAGTTATTTGTTTGTTGTTTCTTTTTTCTCGATGAAATAACTTATTTATGCTGTTTTAGATTTTGAACACGCGCCACACTAACACATTAATACACAAAGCACACACACACTAGCACACACGCACATTTAAACTATAAATAATCTCTGGCATTTATGTTTTACGTTACAAAGTCGTAGTTGAATGTAAATAGCTGTTTAATAACCTTTGATGATATTCATGGATTTATTTTTTTGTAAGTTTTATTTTTTTTCTAATGATTATTTAAACTTTTTTTCCATAATTTATTCATTTCCACTTTTTTTTGATATAATTTTTTTTTTTTGTTATTTCAAATAATTTCCCATCTAAGATATGACTTCGGTTCCTTATTCCTGTTTTCTTCCTCTACTTGGTTTTTTTTTTTGGGGGGCAAACACGTGTTAACTCGTTTAGCGTAAACTGAAAACTAAACTTCACACATTCACGCACTTTCGTACAAAGCTCTGGCCGCATTGAACGGTGCCAAGAAAACACAAATTTACGACAGCGCCAGTTTCCTTCGAAATCCTACTCAGCAGCACCAAACACATTCACATCCATCGAAGAGAGCAATAAATGTGTCGAACGATTGAATTTCAAACGAGAGCACAAAAGAGTCCTTCTTCCGAAATTGCCAAAAAAAAAAGTAAGCCAGCAATGACACAACACGCAAGAGGAAGGATATAGCCCAAATTCACCTCCAGCCAGCTAGCGAGTGAGTGACTGACTGAACGCCAGTGCTAGTATCACCATTCGTTGTTGAGTCTCAACTCTCTGTCTCTCAGTTTTTAGGTTAAACTACTGCCAAAGTTCAAAATCTCTTGTCTGTCGTTCACGTAACATTGCGACCATTCGTGGCGAAACGTGTCCGTCCGGTCTATGGCAACGTTTTTATTGCATCAATGGCACCACAATGACTGATACAAGAACAGTATCCTTCCGCTGGCATAAAGCACGTGTTGTATCCTAGCGCTAAGTTTATTTGTTTGATGTTTCCACACTTTGGTAGTGGTGACTTTCTTTGTGTTGCTGGTGATGGGTGAATGTATGGAAGTTGCTGCAACATGTTTCTGAAACATATTCCTTTGTCAACATGTGTTTGAATTAAGTAGTTTGTTTTCAAACATTTGGGAGTATGTGGTGTCCGTTGGAATTGCAATTTTCGAATTTCGAAAAAAGGAAACTTGTGCTGAATTGTGCTAGGTTTGTTCTCAATTGTGCCGAAATTTCTTTTTCGAAATTCAAAAAAAAATTCTGAGATATTCGAAAAAAGATTTTTTTTCGAAAAAATCTGAGAGAATTGCAATTTTCGAATTTCGAAAAAATTAAAGTTGCGCTGAGTCGTACTCGGTTTGTGCCCATTTGTGCCGTTAAAATTTTTTCGATATCTCTTACCAATTTCGAAAAAACGATAATTTCGAAAGTATGTCAGAATTGCAATTTTCGAATTTCGAAAAATTAAAGTTGTGCTGGGTCGCGCTTGATTTGTGCTAACTTGTGCCGTTTATTTTTTCTCAATATTTTCAACCGTTTTCAAGATATGGTAATTTCGAAAAAAAAACAGTATTTTTCAGAAAAATTGCTGTAATTTTTGTAAAAATTCAAATATCGAGATGCTGTAAATTGAGCAATTTTCGAAATTGGTAAGAGATATCGAAAAAATTTTAACGGCACAAATGGGCACAAACCGAGTACGACTCAGCACAACTTTAATTTTTTCGAAATTCGAAAATTGCAATTCTCTCAGATTTTTTTCAAAAAAAATCTTTTTTCAAATATCTCAGAATTTTTTTCGAATTTCAATTGAGCACAAACCTAGTACAATTCAGCACAACTTTCCTTTTTTCGAAATTCGAAAATTGCAATTCCAACGGACACCACATTTTGGGAGTTCGATAATCTGATTCAGGTAACAATCTGTTTGGCATAAAAGGATTGACAAAAGGGAATTAAGGCTAGTTTACACGTCATTGTAAGGCCAGGAATCCCAAAAAAGTTGAAAACTTAAAAGAAACCATATATCCGTATAAAATATATAATTCACAAAAATATTTAATATCTTTATACCCTACAACACTATGTGTTGGGGGTATTATAAGTTTGATTGGGCCAAAAATTATGTAACCCCTAGAAATATTGGTTTCCAACATAGGAAAATATATATGGATCTTCCTATCTCGCCGAGATGAGTCGATCTAGCCATGTATGTCCGTCCGTCCGTCTGTCCATGTTAATTTGTAATCACTATACAGGTCGTAATTATGGCCCGATCTTCACAAAATTTAGAATGGAGGTGGGTCTAGGGCCAGAATAGAACGCAATTTCTTTTGGATATGATCGTATAATATTTAGTGATTGAAATGGACCAAAAACTGAAAAATTTTCTGATCACACAATTGAAACCAATCGACACAGAAATTTGCATGAGAAGAGAGTTAAGGACAGGTAAGAAGTTTAGAATTTTTTATGACCATTGGATTATATTTAGCAGTAAAATGGACCACAACAACTAACAGCACGACGGAGTGCGTAAATATTGGACAAAAGGTCCTAGTCAAAAAAAAAAAAAAAAAAACTAATGGTAATATCTGGGCAGTGCTCTATGACATCATTTCAAAAGCGAAATCTTCCCAAATGGACAGAAGAGAGCTTCTAACATATTGTAGTGTTGTAGGGTATCACATGGTCGGCCCCGCAATTTAAAGAATATCTGAAGCTTATTTCGCTTTTATGAGTGCTTTGTTACTCAAAATTTTGTGATGCCAGAAGGAGTAGTCCGGTATTTACCATCTTCACAACAGATCTTGTGTTAGTAGAAATCTTGCAGTATGTGAAGTTTCGCTTATTTCGCCTTTTATGGATAATATGAGTATTCAAAATTCAGACCTGTTGTTGGTGAGGAGAAAATAAATATATCCCATCTTCGCACCAGATATTTTATAAATAAAATGTTGGGTTGTGTGAAATTTGAAGAAAATGGGGTACTTATTTTTCATTTCATGATTAATTATTCAAAACTTTGACGCGTTATGTGAGAGGTACAAGAAGGAGTGGTTCGATGTATTTCATCTTTAAACCAGATCTTGTGTTGGTAGAAACATTGAGATTTGCGAAATTAACAAGAGAATCGGTCTTTGTTTTACATTTTATTAGAATTATGATTATTCAAAATGTTTACCCTTTGTGGGGGAGGTACTTTACGGAGTTGACCGATATTATTCATATTCAAGCCTGACATAGCACTAACAACAATATTTGGATTTACAAAGTAATTTATGCACCATTATGTGAGGGATAAAAACAAAATATGAGCCTATATTGGGACATTTCTACACAAAGATGTCCTATCCCCCCTCCAAAAAAACCTAAAAAAAGTGCAAAATGTCGCTGTATGAGAACTCGATATTGGGAACCCCGGTTTTATTGAAAATTTCTGGCTTAAAAGTGTTATATCTCCCGAAAATACAAAAATTCCCGTCACACCCAAATCCATTGGAAAATTTAACTTAGGACCTCCAATATTCTAACAACAGGAGATATATCACATTTTTTTTTAATTACTACTTACTGAGAACCGAAAATGTATACAACTTAGCAAGGGTCACATTTTTTTTTTTTTTTTTTTTTTTTTTTGAAAAAAGTACTACTTATTGAGAACCCGACAAAAATTCAACAAAATCCAGATTAAACATTTGGCCAAGTCGAAAATATACTCCCAATTAGGGATAACCTTATATGGGGGCTATATCAAAACGCGACCAATTTCCAATCTATATTGAAATTGCCAACTCCAAGACCATAACCCTAAAATTTTTGTACACCTTTAAAATTAATTTTATCCTAACTAAACTACCGATTACCATTATACATTACATTAATCTAAGGTAATTTATTTTCTTTGAACATTTTGTGGGGGAGGTACCAGAAGGAGCTGACTGATGTTGCCCATTTCCGAATTTGATCTAAGTTTGACAATTATATTACGATGTGCAGAGTTTTGACGGACAACCCCATATCGATTTCAAATGTCCTGAAACGGATTTGACCCAAAGAAACCTTGGATCTAAAACCATGGTTTCGGTAAGGCACGTTGTGGCCGTATCAAATGATAAATACACATGTAGCCATATGGCTGTGGGTATAACAATTGTGGGGAGCCCCCATAAATATACAGGGTGAGATAAAAAACTGCAAAAAGTCCAACGCCATGATTTTTACTTTTTTTAATTTTATTGAACAAAAGCAACAAATATCGGAAAAGCGTCAAATTTTAGATTAAGTTGAGATTTGTTCGAATTGGTCACCTTTGGCACGAATTATGACCATCAAACGGCCAATGAAACGTCACACGCTGCCCGAATGTTGCTCTGAGGTATTTTGGCCCATTCCCGACGAATGCGCTTGCTTGAGGTGATCGAAACTTTGGTATTTTTAAGTGCCAACCTTGCTTTCCAAAATACTCCAGACACAATAGTCCAACGGATTGGTATCCCGAGTTCTTGGTGGCCATTGTGCGCTGGAAATGAAACTAGGAACCTTATTTTGTAACCATTCTTGGGTGGCGCGTGCTGAGTGCTGTTGAAATGTCCAAAAAGGTTTGCGTGCCCAAGGCTTTGATACACCCTCCAGGATATTTTTCGATAATATTCGGCATTTATTCTGATGCCGAGGTCGATTTATACAAGCGGAGAGTGACCATCGGCTGTTATGGTCCACATCATCACCATGGCCGGCGCTTGAGTTCTGGTGGCCAACCTAAGGTGCACATTTTCTGCTGACCTCTTTGGCAAGTAAACACGATCATTTTGTTTGTTTACAAACTGCTGGACAACTAATGTTTTCTCATCGGAGAAAACCAAATTCGGCAGTTCACCACTTTCGGCCAAGCGAAGCAACTCTTTAGCTATTTTGAGTATATTTTCTTTCTGTTGTGGTGTAAGTTCTTGCACTTTTTGGAATTTCAATGGCTTTAGCCCGAGCTCATTTTTCAATATTTGCCGAATGGAATGTTGCGATATATTCAGCTCACGAGGCATTTTTCGGCCATTGCGACGCGGGTTTCGATCAAGTCGCTTCTTTATTTTTCGAATCATTTCTGCTGATGTTGCTGTTTTCTTCCGACCACTTCCTTGACGTCGGGCTACGCTACCAGTATCACGGTAACGAGAGATGGTACAAGACACAAAAGATTTATACACATTTAAATGCTGGAGTGCTCTAACGATAGCCACTTGTGGTTTCCCAGCCAAATATAAGGAAATCACACTGCCACGCTTGAATTCTATCACGAATAACTTTTTTTCTGGAAAATTCTCACCAAAATGCTTTTGTACGGTTGTAAACAATATAATGAGCTGTCATTGGAATAATTTTAACAGCTGTCGGACGAGTGGTTTAGGAATGACAGTAGTCTGAAGTTAGGTGCAGTTTTTTCATCATACCCTGTATTCATGATCAGCATAAAATTATATGTCGATTTAGCGATGTTCGTCAGTCTGTGGAAATTCCTATAGCTTCTGATCGAAATGAAGAAGGTTTATAAAATTTTACTCAATGTTTGTTTGTTCTTTTCGTAGTGGAAGTGGGCTGTATGAGTCCTCGTTTTGGAATAGGCCTCATTTAAGTTCTTTTGCTGCTTAAGTCACAATTTTAACTCAAATATGTACATATTATATAAGAAACATCCTTGCATAGAACTGTCAACGTAGGTCTATATTTTGATGTAGTCCCCATATAACTGTTGCTCCAAATATTTGGTATTTTGGTTATTTGTGTCACACTTTTCACTCCGGCAACCCCCTATATTCGATGTTTATATGAATTTTGCAGTATTTTTTTTAACGAATTATGTTTTTTTGAAAATTTGCAAATTTCTTCCAAATAGTGTGGGGTATTAAAAGATCGGCACGGCCTTACTTAAATTAAAAAATAAGTAATCCTTGCTTTTTGATTGCTTTTGTATTACACCAAAAGTGATGATATCTGCCGAGTAGGTGGTGCTAGGTATGTTAATATTCTTCTGTCACAAATACAGTCACCATGTAAATTGGTCGGTCGGA